GTTTGTCTATAAATAAATAGCATCTCTGGTGAGTATGATGTATTTAATTTAAATTTGGCATGTTTTTGTCATGTTTTTAGATAAATATTGATTGTGCACTACTCCAGATGATGTACATGGCACAGTCACGGTAATGCCACACCTTGTTGATAGGTGGTATTAAGAGGTGAATGAAGTGGCTAAGTCCCCACTGAAGGCCCAGGTACCAAATGCACGGCCCACCACTGAGGATGACAGAACACAAGAGACCAAATTGGCTGCAGGGTTCAGGGTTAAATTTGTTAACTTTTATGTATAGTATAAGTTCATTATAACACTAAGCTTATAGAAGCACTGCACATAGGGTTAACAGCCCAGCAGGTACCTATTTGTGACAGTTATCATATCATGATAGGTTCTACACTTTCTGGTGTCTTTTCATAAGCTTTTAATGAGGAAGCAACATTCTGTGTATCACAGCTGAGCTAATAACAGTTGGTCACATTCACCAACATCTTCCTTAGCGTTTTCTTAAATTCTTTGTAGGTTGTTCCTAAGAAAGGTCCTAAGAAAATTCTGCGTCTGATTCATGAAGGTGTTGTTAAAGCACAGAATTGATCACAGCTGTGTTCTTATATTGATGAACCCCAGAAAGCCAGGAATGCTACAATGAAAATCTAAAGACGGTGGAGCAACAAACTGCAAAACAAAGAAAACCTGGAGCAGTTATGAAGTGGAGAACAACAAATGAACTGCCATATATAGTAGCGTCAGTAATGGATATAAATAAAGCAAAACTAACGTATTGAACAGTATAAGGAGAAGGGCGCACAGCTGATGAGTTAAAAAGATGGTTTGAGCTCAAATCTCAAGCAACAAAACAAACACGGAAGAGTGGAGGAGTACAAGCTGGCCCAGAGTTATCTGAGCTGGACCACTGCATCGGGGACATGCACGGCTCTCTCGGGTGTGGCACCAGCTGAGCAACCTCCATGTGTGCACCCAGGTCTCTTAACTGCTCCGAGTCTGCTCTCAGATGGACAAACAAACACTTCCACAGACAGCCTCAACACTGGCCAAAATATCTGAGAGCCACTTAACGAAGTGAACAGAAATTAGAAATAGAGATATGCATTTAGAGTGTTTGGTTTTTAAGCAATGCATTTCTTAATTCTAAACTGCAAATAATCACACTGTTAAAGTCTAATTTTAAAAACTTAAAAACAAAAATAATGGCTTGCTGTAATTTTAGTGTAGCGTTCATTTTAAAAGACCATAATGCCTTGTAAAATAATGGAGGACAAATAAAAGAAATACTAATAATGACAAAACTGTTACTGTAACTTAAATCTTCTATAACTAGAACTGATGAAAACTAAATAACCAGATATTTCACACACACACACACACGTCAGCACTCTAATGTGCTCATGAGTGCGTAGATTCTATTCTCACCTAAGAACAAATCTCAGATAAAACACTGCTGAATGCCAGTATCTTTGTTAAAACTTTGTAAGTGGATTTTACAAACAAATTTGTTCTTAAGAATGGTTGGTGAATGTGGCCCAGTGTTCTCATTCAGCAACGAGCTGTTGGAAGATTCGGTGTAGATTCATAGTGAACAACTCTACTGGACATTTTAATTACAGACACGCTGATTAAATTTTCACTCAGCGGCTTAGACAGTAAGCTGGAGAACAAGACCAAATACTAGTGACTCTGTGAAGCTACATGCTAAAAATATGCTCACAAAGATAATGCTAACATGCTGATATTTAACAGGTAGTACGTTTATAATGTTACCCATCCTGCTAATTAGTAATAAACACACCCACCTGATGCAGATAGGAATGTCATTAGTTAACAACTGGAAACATTTTGATCTGATGATGATGCTAAAGGAGGGCTTGGTGCTGAATTTAGTGCAACAGATTTCACTCTGTATCCCAAATATCATCCTGACTGTCAAGCTAGGACAAAGGTCAGGGGATAGTGAAAGTCAGGATTCATCATATGGAATCATAAATATCTGTACACTCCATTAAGTACTGTTGATGTTGGGAAATGTTTCAGTGATGGTGCCACTACAGGAAAAGCCATGGGAGCAACAGATTCATCATTTAATCATCTGGGCACAATGAATATCAGTAACAAATTTCATTACAGGATATCCAATAGTTTTTGAGTTATTTCAGTCTGAATCAAGGTGGTGGACCAACCAACTGGCATTGCCATCCCTAGAACCAAGTCACTAGCAGTGAATTTGCATTGTCAGCTATTTGGCCCTAACTCATTTTATGAATGGCTTTGTGACTAAAGTGTCCAACCATGCACGACTGTGATACATAGTGAATAATTCTGGATCTTCACTGTGTGGTATGATGTCTCATCAGGCCTGTTGCAGTTTGTGTACAAATAACAGCGATGCAGAGACGAACATGTAGCCGAATAAGCAGCTGACACACCAAGAGACAGTGACTCACATAAGCAGAGAGTGTCCACCTGTGCATGCGCTGCTACTAATCACCCAAACACAGTCTTTGGTGGTGATTAAGAATAAATCAGACTTCTCGAGTTTGGCATTATCTCCACCTGTGAGGATCACCAGTGATAAGACCAGGGATGGTTTACCTTAAGCAGGATGACTGAGTGGAGCTTAAGCACTCTGCTTTGTTCCTCTAGAGTCCCCTCTGTCTGGGATGGATTTGTCTGTAGAGGCCAGCCTGCACAGGGTCACCTGGAGGTTGTGTAAATATACTGTACACTCACGCTGGGTGGGATGGAAGCTCACAGGGATTTTCCATGACTCGCCCCAGTGAGTGGAGCGCGCTTTGGTAAACAAACACATTGTCCTCCACCTATTTGCAATCGTTTAGGTAGCATTGGCTGGAAGTTTTGATTCATCTTTGCTATTGCTGCCTCCACTGTGTGGTTACAAAAGGTAAACTATACAGCTTTTATCATACATCACTGCAATAAAACATGTCACTGTCACAGCTGTGTACAAACCAATGGGTACTACACTTAAATATACACAGCCTTGTTACCTGACTTTTACTTTTTAAAGTGTGTGTGTTG